ATTAATATGATGAATAATAAATGGTTTTTAGATTTCTCTTAATATATAGGTGTTCTTAAAGTTGGTTCGTAGTTTTATAAGAAACATAACGACCAAAGAAATAATGTTTGTGACATAAAAGTTTTTTATTTAATTTTTTACGTTTAAAAAATTGGGTATATTAACACTTTTTCGGTCAAAGGAAATAAATAAAAAATGTGTTTTATGTTTCAATGCAAAATTACAGTTTTCTGCATTAGTTTATAGAAGAAATACAGTTTACGTCTTCTCTCAAAATTAATGAGTGTTTTTATAGGTGGTAGTAAAATTTTGTATACAGGACGTACTTTTCTGCACTCGTTTCAAGAAACAAAACGATAATTTTCTGCACATAAAACATTTAAAAACATTAACACAAACACTTCTTAGTCAATAAATTTAATTTTTTTTCCAAGTAAGTTTGAATTAACAATACAGAGTGCGCCAGAACTCGCGCCCCAGAGAAAAATTCCATAAAATGTAAGATACCAGGAACATGGAAAAAAATGTTAAAATCCTAAATTGTAACTCTGTTTAATGTTATTTATGGGTCTTATTTGCAAAATATTTGTACCTTTACTAAACAATTGTAAAAAAACATATACAAGATCATCAGTGTCCAATGTCAAAAATAAATGTCAAAATTTTTTGGCAGACAGGATTTTTTAAACATTTTTCCATGTTCCTGGTATCTTATTTTAATTGAAATTTTTCTCTGGGGAGCAATTTTTACAAGCCTGGTGTCTCAAAATAATTGAATCATTTATTTCTGGAACATACTGTATATTTAAAAAATATACATTATTCTTTACTTGTTATACATTTTATAATTCGACTTTTGTGAAATATTTTCTATGAAGCGGCACAGTTGACGGTGATTTGCCGCTCCAGTAGCTCGTGGCCCGAATTTGGGCCAAATTTTTGTTAAAAATCTTTCGTCTAGTGTCCTGGTCCCATTTGTGGGTCATTAAAAGCGAAACTTGTCGACTTATGTAAATAGTCAATTCACTTTTCTTTGAAAAATGCGTCAACCACGTGACAAATATGGTGAGAATCCACATTTTAACCAATTTAAAAACCGATTTTTGCACTTTGACATTCATAAACACGTCGTGCTAAAGTCGTGGGTTAGATCACGGTCACCTTTCAAGAATTTTTCAGCAATAAATAATAAAATTTTCCTTTTTGAAGGTTGTGATACAAAACTCAACATAAATTCAAGAATTGAAAAATAATAAAATAATTGCTGGAATTAAAAGTGAGAAAGCGCTCCAATTACTGTAAATCATCAGGTGTCCACGTGTTTGTCAAGGCCTGTTTTTCCCCCAAGTCGCATCTTTACATAACTTGAGCAACTTTCTTCTCGTAAATTTTCAACCGGTCAAAATTGAGTCCCGCAGAGGCCCGCTCGCGGGCCTTTGTTGTAATAACGCAATTCAACAAAACGCTAACTTTCACGTCTCGCATTTGCGTTTTCCGTTGCCAAATCCGACCTTGTGATGCAACCGCACTCACCTCAAGGCGTTGCTGCTCCAACTGAACATCCTCTTCAGCTTGTCCTCTTCGGCCATGGCGGAAAATCGGAAAACACGCGTCGACTTCACCACATCATCCACCTAACTGACAGAATCGAGACACCTGCTGTCGTAATCGTCGTCAATCGACGTGAAAATTTTATAAGACGCGGGGGTTGACGCACCCTCTACCGATTTTCTTCAACTCTGGAAAACAACTGCCGCTTTCGACACTGATGCGATAGAAAGTGAACAAGATGCCTTTCTAGCGTTTTATTGGTGCTAAGAACAAGTTGCGTGCAACGAACTGCACAGGACATAAATGAAAGTTGGCCGCGGAGAGAGGGAAACACTTTTGATTTCGAAGGAAACATCTCAGGTGGTTATGTAAACCAATGACGAAACGGATAAGACACACGTGACACATTACGGCCAATTAGCTAGACGGAAATTTCAAACGCCACATTCGCGCGGTATGAAAACCAATCGCGGATCGAAGCGAAGTCACGTGCTGACGCTTTGAACTTGATATTTTATTTCGCGCGTTGTGTAAGCCAATCAGAGATCGAGGCAAACTCACGTGATGATACTTTCTCTCAAGAATTGAACTGGGAAGAGTGGGCTTTGAACTATTGATCTTCTACAGAATTGAGATAAAGTTGATTTGCATTTTTTTCCAATGTTTGAAAAAGATACCCAAATATGGATTTGAGTTGGATTAAAATAGTTAACTTAATTTGGATTAGGAAAGTAATTGTAGTATTGATAAAATTATTACAACGTTGGCTCTTGTTCATATCATTATATTGATTTGTAGTACACTTCCGGAGAATTAATAATTGCTGACTAATGCTGAATGTTGTAAAGAGATGTTTTACAAAATGACAAATAGATTACAATTAATTTAATTAGTTACTGTTTATGTATTTTATGGTTTTTCGACAAATATTCTACTCAGCGCCACAAAATAAACAATAAAAGTGCTATTAAAATTAATGAAATAATAAGGAAAAATCCAAAAAATAGATTTCTTAAAAAAACAACAATTAAATAATGAAAATAATTTCTTACTGCCTGAATATCTATTTTTCCCCCCAAATCTCCTACGACTCACTTTGTTCTATTTTTTCTCTAAATTAATAAATAGCCTAGTACTTCAATTGTTTACGTATCAAATTAAGCAATTTTTTGATCACAAATTTCAAAAAAAATCTGACAACAAAATTTAGTTATTCTTGCTATAATGACGACATTTATGACAAATATTTCTTGATTTTTTGTCTGTTTTAAATTTTTAAAACTTTATGTTTTTTTTTGTTTCTTAAGTTGTAAACTTACTATTTTTTTAATTTATTAATACCTACATTCCTAATAGTTATTTTAAAAATCTAAACTTTACATCAAAATAAATGTCGACTTTAGACTTGCTTTCAAATCCATATTACACATTATATTTACATTATATTATATTTCCATTACACATTTGTTCTTTTAGATTATAATTTTTTATATTCTATTTGTAAAATTATTATTCTTTCACACTTTTGTGTCTTTTAAGAACATACAGTGCTTTATATCTAAATCTTTTTTTCAGTTATGAAACAATCTCTAAACGAAAAATTATACAGTGTGTTCCCGGATAAGTGAAACGCCTCTTGTAAAAAAATCTATTTAAATTAAACTTTTTGGGATTAATTTTTAACATAATTTTAGTTTTGAAAAATCAAAAAATCAAGTATGCCTTGTAAATTAAAAAAAAAACTATTTTCTGTAGAGTAAAGTACCTTTTATGAGACTAATACGACAAAAGAAAGAAAAAAGAAAAGTTGTTTATTCTGAAGTAACTGCTTTTTATTAAGAAAGAAACGTCAAAAATTTTTTTAGTAATAATAATTCAAATGTAATTTTTTTTTGTAACAAAAGAACTGTTAAATAGAAAAAAAAATTATTTGCGAATTAATAAACAAAAAAATTAAAAATTATAGTTGAAAAGCCACTTTACAATACGGAAAAGTAATTTTTTTGAAAATTTCCAAAGCATAATTGATTTTTCAAAACAAATATTATGTTAGAAATTAACGTTTAACCAAGCAGAGCTGAACTCCAAAAATTGAAAATTTTAATCGATTTTTTTTTATCTTTTACAAGAGTCGTTTTACCTCACACTGGGACAGTGGTATATCTGAAATTTCAAAGTTCGTTTTTCATATTTGAAAAATATGTTTTATTTTTTTTTTTAATTTAAGCATTTTTTTAAGGAATTTTTAATTTTTTTTTGTAACTCTAGAATTTTTTTAATTCGGTACATCTGACACTTTCTTAGTCTCCCCAACTGTTTTTTGTAGCATGATGTTTTGAAACGTCTCGAATGACATTTTTTTTAATTTAAGCATTTCTTTAAGAGATTTTTAAATGTTTTTTGCAAGTCTAGAATTTTTTTAATCTAGTACATCTGACACTTTCTTAGTCTCCCCAACTGTCTTTTGTAACCCGATGTTTTGAAACGTCTCGATTGGCATTTTTACAACTAAATTTAAACATTTCCTAAGAATTTTTTTTCTTTTGAAAATCAAAAGTCAGTACATTTAACATTTAACTTTTTACTTCAAGCCAAAGTAATCCGAAGTAACCCGAAGTGGCCTAAAGTAACCTGAACCGACCTGAAGCTACTCGAACTTACCCAAACATTATATTTTTTAATCTAAAAGACACTTTACTAAATAAAAATGAAACTCCTAATCAAATCCGATAGGATTTGACCACATTTATTAGTTTCATCTCTTCCTACGTTGTGATAATTTCATTCGTGTTATTACGTTTTTCCCTATTGTTTTCTTTATTAATTTTTAATTACTAATGATAATAAAATAGATTGCAAATAAATAATAACGTGAGTTCTCTTTCTCGTAAACAGCCTGTATATGGAAAAGTCAAATTTACGAGATGTGTTTTATTATTAAAAAAAGAATATAATTCCCACTTTTACGATAACAAGTAAATCAAAAACAGATCATAAAACATGACCACAATTAGTAGTTTATTATACCGTGTCTTCATTTATATCTTACTTAACGCGTCCAAATAAATAATAAATAATTAGCAATGCTAATATAATAATAAAAGTAAATAATAAGTGAATAAAACCATAAGTGTTTTTCCTAAAAAATGCAAGTTTTCTAAAATTAATTC